AATTGTGAGTGTCAAAAGAAGATACATGCATATAACTTAAGGTGCTTAACAATCATTATTAATTTACTAATATTGATTCTTGAAAACTAGTAATGATGTCATGTAGGGACCTAAATGAGTTAAAGTTAATAACAAGTGGGGGTTTAGAAAATAAATTAATAAGGATTAGTTTGGATTATTGGACGATTTTCTTGTCTTCTTTTTAAAGATTTGTTTTCCACGACAAAATTGGTGGAAAGGAAAGAGTGTTTTGCGTGTAATATTCTTGGTAAAAACTTGTGGACTTACACAAACTAAATCACAAGATCATTAGTTGGTGGGTGTCTATAGATTTTTTTTTTTCTCTATCACTACTATAATGTTGAATTAGTGTATGCAGTGGCGGAGCCAGCATAGAGTTAGGGGGTTATGACCCCATAACGTTTGTCAAATTTATATTATTTTATATAGAAATATAAAAGATTATGTGCATTACAATAGCATTGCAACCAGGGTCGGTTATGAGGGGAGGCGAAGTAGGCGATTGCCTAGGGCCCCCGATTTTTTACGAAAATTTAGGGCCCAAATTATTTTATATACACTTTATATATTAGTATTTATTTTATAAATTTATTATAGATAATATTTTGGACCATCAGTTCTAAAATAAATTTAAATTAAACGATCAATAGATATTTTTGCAATTTTGTTAATCTTGGAGGCTCCTAAATATCAAATTTAAAATGTCTTAATTACTTATTTTTATTCTAAAATAAGAATCAATCATTCATTAGTGTATTCAAGTTTAGAAATATTTATGAAGTCTATTTGATATAAAGATTATACGTCACGGAAGGAAGTGCATCAGCAAATCATACTATTAATTTTGAATCTTTTTTCTATATTTTTAGTTATTTTATTATAGTCATACATTTCAAAAAATATTTCGGGGCACTGTCCCCGAACCCCCATAATCTTTTATTTCATCATTTTAGAAAATATTATTTATATTTTTTTAGCACATTCAATTTCGAACACCCTTCAAAAAAAGTAATTTATCAAATAGGGGCCCCGTTTTCAGTTCTTTAAACCTTGCCTAAGGCCCCTGAATTCTCAGGAACGGGTCTGATTGCAACCTCCTACAATTTTTCAATATGTTCAGCCTTCCGATTTAAAATGCTGACTCCACTAGAAGTAGAGGATATATGCACGTATATATGTTTGTATGGATGGATGGACAACCACCTCATGTGAGTCAATCAAAAAGTAAACTCACTTGCCCAACAACTTTTGAGAGAGATGAACTCACTTCTCATGTAGTTTCTGAGTTCTTTGTGCAATATATAGTATGCACTCGTTTAGTTGTTAAGATAAGATTAAATAATCTTATACAAATTCGATTATTTTATCGGACCCTGAATCGTTCAACAAAAAATTTCTCGAAAAGGCAATATAAATTGTAATAATTTAATATTTGAGGGTTGACTTAACAAATAACAGTAGATATCAAACATCAAACAAAGTTCAATTATCTAGTTAATAATGACTAATCGTCTCAGCTAAATAAGATCGTATATGTATTTTAAGTTGAAGCGAAAAAATATGAATTATGAAAATTATTAAGGTGAGTTACATTTTTTGTGTGATCTCCAATACTTATTGGTGAGTGAGTGAGTGAGAGGTAGCTTAGGTTCCTCAAGCAATCATGTTCATCCCATGATTTTTCCTTTCCTCCTTTTTCAAAGTGAAATAAACCGGTAAAGAGAAATTTCATAATATGGTGCCCACCCACA